TCAAACTTCTTCCTAATAGAATAATCTAAGCCCCCAGCAGCCATTTCGACCAGCTCATGCTCAAGAATTCTAGTAAAACATCTAGACTTTAGGATCCTAAACATATTCAAATAATCCTCTATTGACTCAGATAACATCCTCTTGATTGAGGATAATTCTTTCAAACTTATCTTAGGCTGACCAGCATAAAATTGCTCATGAAATATACCCTCAAGTTGTTCCCAAAGTGCGTATGGAATTTGGAGTCAATGTCATAAACCAAGTAAAAGCATTTTTTGGTCAATGAATTAGAAAAATATCTTAATTTTAAACCCTCATCATTGGCGATATCGTCAGCTTTTGTTTCGTACCTAGCGATATGTTCAATGGTCGACTCATTGGCATCACCAGTAAACTTGGTAAATTTAAGTACCTTACATCCCCTAGGTAATTCTGCCTGTCGAATATAATCAGGTAAGGGAGATGAATAATTAGGCCTCCGAAGGCCAACATTTACCCCATATCGTGTTAACATTTCTTCTACTACATTCACTATGTTATTACGCCCAACAATGGCATTTCTTAACACTTGATCAACATCTCGGTGCCTCCTAACTACGCCCGACTTAGGTTCATGTTGTTCAACGAATTCTTCCTCTTCATAAGTGGGTACTTCCACCCTTCGAGGTCTAAAAGGACGCTCATTGTTGTCTCCCTTCAGTTCTCAAAAACTTTTAACAGTCGGTGGTGCGTCTGAGTTGGTTGGACCCCTAATGAGTTGATCAATCTACCTATTTGGTCAATTACAAGATTGAGAACAACTCTCATTCATCTACTGCCTTAAAGCCATGACAAAAGTAGTATTCAAAGATGGTGTCGACTAGAGGACATAACCAACACTATCTGGTCGACCACCTGGGACATAAATGCCTTGGTTTCCAATGGCCACTGTGTTTTCTGTATATGTGGACGGGTTCGACTGTAACCCAACCATCATGGAATAAGGCATACCATATTGGTAAGGGACAAATGATGACCCTGGACCCCCAGGAAAGAGTGGTCGATTTAGGTCAAATGGTGATATCTCATGCCTAGGTTCTGTCATTGTGATTGTTGTCACTAAACCATGAACAACGGTCGATCTCACAAGAGATAAAATCACCGCACTTTGAGTTGTGGCACTCACTAGTATGGCATCCATATTTTGTGTAGAAATCTGCGTATGTGCAATGTTTGTGTCAGAGCGTGGCATTTTAGACTTCGACAAATGTTTACCACTTCTTAAATTCATACACACACAAACTAAACTATAAGAAACTTTGTAAAACCAAACACCAATACGAAATTATTAGCACCGTCCCACCGGATATGCCAATTTGTTTACCTCTGATTTTGGTAAACAACGCATGTCTCTTAACAAAAAGTTTACTGGCGAGATCGACCATAGAATCTCAATACAGTGCTTCAGTTTTCGTGTTTTTACAAAGAATTTTCAAAAAGATTTGTTCGACAAATGAGTTTATAAGCGATAAAGCAAGACTTGTAAAATAAAACAAAAGACATTTTAAACTGTAATTATAAATGACATAACATCGAAATAGTTGAAAATAAGTTGATTAGCGTACATTGCCCTAGCTTGACTCATTCTGCTCGTTCGTTTGGATACTCTGAGTGACTAGCGTATAAGAATGTAAAAGTTTAAACCCTAAATATTATGCACTAAGTACTTTATTTATAATACACAAAAATAACTATTTTTTAGCGGACTTCGCTTTTTCATGCGCCACGTGTATCTTGTAACTCCTCTCCATGATCCCACGTTCTCAATTCGTACTCTCGAGCTCACGTTCTCTAAGTTTCCTTCCAAAACACTTCGCATGCTTGATGGATCTTTTGGGCCCTTTTGACGTTTCTAGGCCCAATGACTTATGAAATCCTCCCTAGTCGTTTGCTCCTGTTTTCATGCCCAATCGCTTATTTGTATAATCTCTCCAGGGTCGACTGCATCAATAGTCAAACACTTTGTAGAATCTCTCTAGGTCCTAGGTCGACTACATCAATAATCATGTACAATAAATCATCGTTTCTAATAAAATCTTTTTTATCCTTTTATTTTGGTTGGATTTTAGTCCTTGTCGAAAATCCAAGCCAACAGTCGACCTATATATCGTATGTGTCGACACATACATTAGATTTAAGCTGTATGTGTCGATCTGAAAGAATGTATGTGACGACCAAACCAAGTCAGAGGCTACAGACTTTAAAACAATAGCAAATGTGTCAACCTATAAATCGTATGCGTCGACACATAAAATAAAAATTTATGCAATTTCTGAAATGCTTTAATATGTGTTGACCTATGCAATGCATGTGTCGACCTGAGCCTTGCAGAGGCTACAGGCTTCAAAACTGAGTTGCATGTGTCGACTTGAAAAATAGATGTGTCGACACATGCAACAAAATATTATACAGAAACTTGTTTTTAATGACTTGGATCAATTTCATAATGCTTTTTAATGATTCCTAAAACCTCTAATGCAGAGGAGTGCCACAAGACAGAGATGTCGTCCAATGTACAGAAGTGCTAGTTTTTCCCAATTTTGACATCATGCAAAACATCTAATGATAAGTTATACTCACACGTAAAGGGATGAACCGCAGTAAAGATAAGCGTACTTAGGATTTGAAGTGAAAATCGAAAAATCTACTGTTCTATTTGGTTCTTTAAAAACTTCGATTATGTCGGTGATGTTTAAGCTTGTGTCGCCATCGTCGAAAGTTGAAACATAAAAAATCAACTTCCAAACGAAGTTGTCGGTGTTTAACAGTCGTAACCCCAATTTGGGAGCATCTTGTAACCAACATTAGTGATTTTCTTCAGATTTTCGTCGCCCGTGAAAGTGTTTTCACCAGGAAGTGTGTTTTCACTGGATATCCATTCACATTTATAAGTCAATTTACTATAAAGATGAAGAGGTTTTGAAGCTATATCGATAATGGCGAAAGTGTTTACGCCACTGTGATAGATCCCATAATGACAAAGTTATAAGCAACAGTACCATAAGGATTAAAAGCGTGTTTTATCCAAATATTCAACCAGACATGGACCAAAACCCTAACCCGACCCATTATCTTTGTTTATCTATCCCAAAAAGAGAAGGCTAACCAGACCCATTATCTTGGTTTATTTGTTCCCAAAAAGAGAATTTATTTGTTCCCAAAAAGAGAATGTGTTGCTGGTCCCAACGAAATTTGTCGTTGTTTCATTCTCCTCTCACTCTCAATGGTGATTTTCTTACCATTCATGGCATTTGTTTTTTAATTCTATGTGCAGTAAAATAATCATAAAAATACATGGGATTTGGATTTTATTGATCATCTAATTGATATTATTAGTTATAGCAATGATAATGAGAAAGAGACTGGGTTTCCAATGGTAAGTTGACTGAGTTCATATTTCCTTAACTTTTTGTCCTTTTTTTTGGGTAAGATTCTTTTCGGAATGGAAAATTCTATACGCCTTTTCTTCTTTATATATATATATATATATATATATATATATATATATATATATATATATATATATTTGAACAATTTAAGTTCTGTTTGATTCAATCGAGGAGGGGGTTTTATCAAAGAGAGGAGAGATGAGGGGAAGGGATAGAGAAATATAAATTACATATATATTTGGTTCAAAATAAAAAAGAGAAGAAAAGAGAAATATTTTATTTACAAATATATTTGATTCTCAAGAGGAGAAGTATTTTAAAACTAATTTACTTTTATATCCTTATAATTTTATCGTAAGACTCATAATATTTATCATTTATAATTCAAAAATATAAATTCAATGACAAAATTTAAGTATTCAATCAGAGAATATTATAAAAGATTTTATAATAACGTAACAATTATGATATATATATATATATATATATATATATATATATATATATATATATATATATATATATATATATATATATATATATATATAATTTTAAAAATATTATTAAATATAATAAAATTTAACAAAAATTATTATAAATAAAAATATTACAATAATTAAAAAGTAGCATTAAAATATTTTAAATAAAATAAAAAAATTTGAACACATAATATTAATAAGATGAAGATATGAAAATATAAAAAATATCAAAGAAAGATAAAAATTTGTTCAAAATAGAACTTTTAACATTTTAACAAATTAAATGTATATTAAATAAATAAATAAGAGTAAATATCTAAATATAATTATAATTAAAATAAAATATCTCCCCTCCCCTCAATGTCAGAGAGAAGCAAAAAATGATTCGGGAGAGATTTTAGTCCGCTCCGTCTACCTCTCATCCCCCTCTTAAAATATAAACCAAACTCCCCTCCACTCCACTCCATTAACTCTCAACCAAACAGACCCTTAGTATTTGCTAGGTTAATTACGTGTTAGTTTTGTTTTCAACCTATTTACTTTCATTCCCTTTCAGAAGTTTAAGTGAGAGGGACTTGATGACACAAAATAGTTATTATTTAAGTTTTGAATTTTAAAATAAGTTGCTATCATTAATTTAATCTTACAATTTTTTTATTAAATTTTCTGTAATTTTGATTTTCAAGAGAAAAATTGTAGATTACTGACTAACTCCTTCATAATTTTATAAGAGTGTAAATTAGCAATCTCTATAGATATATTTAGAGAGATAGAGAGAGAATGAGGCATGACTTTCTTTTTTTACCTTACAAGGCCTTCGGCCAATGCTTAACAACCAAATCATATCAACTTTTTTTTCCTTTCATTTTTTCTTCTTTCCCCTCTACTTTCTATTTCCTAAATTTAAATTTTCTCTACAAAAGGCTCTCCTCTTTGAAAGCCAAATCGACAATCTCATCCATTTTTTCCTAAAAAATATTGGATGAGAAATCAACCACCTAATTCTAAGGACTTAAAATTACAGTCCAATACCCCTAAAAGAAGGTGGGACTTAAAATTACAGTCCAATACCCTTAAAAGAAGGTGGCGAAGGTTAAAGTTTCCTATATCTTAGGGATATTCCTTTCAAGGAACTATTTCTCAAAGAAAAACCGATTCGCAGGCGATCAAACCACGACAGTTTCATCTCCCCAAAACCGGTGCACTGACCCTCCACCTCACCCTGACTACTGAAGAGGGTTTGGTCAGAGCAATCAAGTGAAGCTCCACATGCTATATTATAAGATTGGCATGCGGAATGGCATACCCGAAGCCTGTTATCTCCATCCTTGTCACACTTCTGGATTGAGATCTGAAAAAATCAAGTGCCAAATCTTTAGACAAACATGCAACATAACCAACTGCTCTAATTTGTCAACAAAAACAAAAAAAAAAACCCAACTGCTCTAATATCTAGAAACAATGTTAGAATTAATTCAGTCGAAGTTAGTCTCATGTTCCTCAATTTCGACCATGGTAGGAATGTAGGTATATCATTAGAGTTTGATTGGCTTCAAGAAACATGAAAAGCAGGATTATTTCACAGCTAATAGAAAACTATGTCATTGAACGTCTAACCAATAAAATCGGGCTTACACTATGGTTTAATCTTAAGTGTCACATGCAGTGCATGATGACGTATAGACCAAGTAGGAATGGGAAATTTGATTGCAAAACAGAAGTTCAGATTAAGCATGACTAGAAACAAAACTATAACCCAAAAAACAAAAGGATAACTTTAATCTGAAAAGGTATCTTACCCAGCAGGCAAGCCGTTTAGCAGCCTCATCACAGTAGGTGCTGCTAAATATATTAAATAATTTCCTGGCACCTCCGGGGAATAATCGGTGGTAGTTCGGCATGACAACCACTTCTTCCAACTGCTGTAGTATGCTAGGCTCGCTGGGTGCACAATGCTGACCAGATACATCATTTCCCAGTACATTTTTGCAAACAGAGAGACTAGATAGGAGCATGGAGCTGTTCTGGCATGTGTATCCGGCATAGTCAGAACAACGGAATTCACAAACTCCATTATCACAAACTCCACCATGAAGGCTGCATTGTTCATCACACACAGCTGCATGTGATACAAGGGACATTCAAAAACCAATTTGTTTCTGCAAGAATCAAATAAATATCTTTCCTACTTAACAAATTAGTATTTAAAAAGATTGACTCAATCCTTTATTTCTTTTATTGGTTTCCCAGGGCACCCCCACAACATTTCTTGGGGTATGAGTGAGTCCGACCTCTTCCGGCATGGACCAATAAGTTAAGGCCTCACAACTACAAGTTCTGTCTCTAGGAAAACAACCTTTGTCCCCCCAATGAAAGCTCATTTCACTCGCCACTATACACACAACACATTGTGGGTGACTGAATGTATTTTAAATGAATGTGAACCCAAAACTTGGAAGGAAAATACATAAACTAGAAAGCCTCAATCAAGCTTAATTATCCTAAAGAAACCCCAGCCCTCCTATCAAGTACTCCAACAATCGTACTGGTTTACATATTTCATAGCTCACCACACATATCATATTACTTTATATGCAGCAACTAGCAAAGCATGAGGTTGCTGCAACTGGCATTTGCAATAGGAAAAATAAACTAGTAATAGTATTTTAACAAACCAAAAACTCACTACTTGAAGAGTTGGTACTTGGTAAGAAATCTAGTTGTTACCCACCCAACCCACAAAATAAAATGAAACAAGCAAACAAGAAAAAGGTCAGAAGTCAAAAATTAAGACCTCTGATACAAAGAAATAATCTTGCAACAAATATCTAAAATTTAGTCTTAAAAATTGTTGCATACCAGTGGAACAGTCGACGCCAGTGTAGCCAGTTTTGCATTCGCAAAACCCATTTGAAAGGCACATGCCTTTACCATTGCAATTTCTGGGGCAGGAACCTATAAAAAGTTAAAGATATTTTCAGAAAAGGAAAAAGTGAATACCGTGCTGCTGAAAGTAACTTACAGCAGAAGCAGTGAATACATAAACCATTGCATTAAAGTAGGGAATGAGAGCTCACGTCTACTGCAATCATGCCCATGAAATCCAAGAAAGCAGTGGCACCTTCCATCGACACAGTCTCCATTGAAATTACATGAATTGAGACATTGACCAGACATAGATACTGGGTCAGAGTTACAGAGCTCAGAATATGCAGGGCAGATTAATTCACCTATAAAAAACAAAATGAAGAGTCAATTGTCTTAGTCAAATTATTGCGAATTTAACATCAACATACAAACAAGTAAAAATAAATAAAATAGAAGTATTGTTAACCATTAAAGCCAGGGAACAAAATGGGTCCACCAGCACGAGGACACACTTTCCAGATGCCATCCACAGCAATCTGCAAGGGAAATATGACGCTGCATTTACTTCTGTGAATAAGTAAAAAGAAGTGAAGGTTGGACATACAATTGAAATACTAACTTAAGAAAAAGGCAGTAGTGATTGCAGCCGCTCAAAGCTAAATGAAGAAACTGTCCAACTCAAATATGGCTGTTCAATTACATATATAACTATTCCTTTAAAGTAAAAAAATTATCTAGTAATAACACCAATGTAAGAAGTGTGAACATTAGAATAACAAGATTGGGTTATCAAAGTCACAAGAAAAAAGATTAATATTTCTCAATCTTTCATACAAAAATAGCCAATAAAAGTGCAGAATGGTTTTCTTGTTTTTTAATCTACTTCCTGGAATTTTAATGCAATGTATCTACATCGCAAAAAATAGAGTAAACATTAGGGTTGACGTGAAATGTGCACACTGCCCAGAGATTAAAGATAGTACAAATCACATGAAATTCTCATTATCAAAGCTTAGAGAATCAGGAATTGCAAGAGTTCCAGAAGAAAACCTAATGAAATGTAGCATTATAAATTAGGGGAGAGTTCACTTGTTATTATTGACAGTCTGAAAACCATACCTCTAAAGAACTGTTTATACATCTGTGCTGATAACAACCATTTCCCTGGGTCATAGAACCTCGTACAAATCCTGTACGCACTAATGATGAGGCCATACACCTGCATCCAAAAGGAATAACAGTTGGCAACTTCACACCTCCTTGTTGTCAATAAAATAAATGAAAAGCAGACTAGAGCATAAGTTTGCAGTCATGAATATAACCTGGAGTTACTTCCTCTGACTTCACCAAGCATTCTATCTGGTGCTCGTGCACTATTAGTATCTGTACATGACCCGTCAGAGTACGCAACAAAATAGGTACAATAATCAGCCAATGAGGATTGTCCACCTGCATCAACAAGTGAAAATTAAATCCAATCAAAACACCATTTCATGTTTAAAAACAATGGTAACAAAGAGTAGTGACAAGAAAAATCTATGATATGTAATGGGACAACAAAAACAGAAGCCACACATCAATCAGAAAGCAATAGCAGGGAAGAAATGTCTTGACACTCACAGCATTTACAACAAAGAATCTGGCAAGAGATAATGTAACAGAGAAAAGGAATGAACTATTAGAAATGAAGACATGACTCTACATACCTTTATTAGCTTGTGGAAAATATTGTGCCCACTGAGGGAGGTCTCCACTATATGTTAGGATTGGGCAGTATCCTTCTGCCTCTCTGTTATATGTACAGCCAGAATATTGCGTTGTGTTGCAATGATAAGCTCCCTTCCAAAGATTGCAAGGGGAGTTAATAAATTCAGTACCTTGGTTGCGACCCCAATCAAGACGGTCTGCCATGCTATAATTGGCTTTGTACCATCCACTATCTTCTAAGAGAGCTAAAGTCATTTTTGAAACTACAGATCTTGTATCCACAGAACCGGTCATAATCTCATTCATGAGAAGCCTTTTCTCCCAGTGAGACCCTGAAGCCATGTACAAAATTCAGATCAACCATATTCGGTGTCACTTAGGAGCAATAGCAGCCATAATTTGAGTTTAATTACTTTAATTATAAGACAGAATTTAATCAAACAGACAGAATTGGCAGATCCTTTGTCTAGAACTTTCCAAAGAAAGAGGACATATTAATTTAAATTCGCACATATATAAAGCTTATATCATTGAACTCAAATAATTAGAACAAATTTTCTCAAAAAAGATACAAGCAGCCATTAGGGAATCAGTAGTGTTACAACAAACATGGGCTACATACTTATGCACTCCTTTAGCACTTACGATAGCAACTCGTACAAACAAAAAGCAGGATACATTTTTTCACGAATGAATATTTATATTAGAATTTATTGACAGCAAAGAAAATGAATAAAAAGTTAAAAACATAATGAGTGACAAACCTGATGTGCCGCGTCCTCCCCCATCTTCCAGTTCTAAGCCAGTAAAATTTCCAGAGAATGCCTGCCCAACAAGTCACCCATTAGTCATTTGTTTAACCGTCTGAAGGGTTCCTTAAGTATGAAAACATTAAACATAAAGGTTAAAGTATATGACACCCATATGTTTGCAAGCAAATACCGCATAATGATATCGTGAATGCATGACAACACGAGGAAGCACCACTCGATTGACCATCCGTCCAAGCTTTTCATCCATTACTTGTTCGGTAACCTTCAGATGGAACAAGTTATGACAAAATAAGAAAATGTGTCATTAAAATGCCTAACATGGAACGAGTAATGATAAAATTATAAAATGTGTCATTGAAATGCCTAACATGGAAAGGGATGTTGAAAATGAAAAATTCTTAATATATATATTGAAATGAATAAAATATATATGCTACAAATAATAAGAACAAACACATATGTGCCTCTCAAACAAGTACCGGGAAATTTTTGTATAACCTGTTAATCATTTTCTCCCTAAAATATTTTGTTCATTCTAATTTATAATTTCTAAATACATTTTAGAGACAAAACAAAGTTGTATCGAAATATAATCCATTCAGGATATTTTATGAAAAAACAAATATATCTCATCTTATACCTGATCACGCCGTCTTTTTCTTTCATCTCTAAAATGAGCAAAGGCGTGTGGGTCAAAACCAAGAACATGCATAACCTGAAAAGGATCAAATATGATGAAAAGTCCTATAAACTGGCTCCTTTGCTTCCAATCCCATTGATATAAGCAGAAAATCTAACAAACCTCGTGTATTAGAGTAGCTGAAAGCAAAGTCTCAGCCTCGGCAGTCAAATGGCGAGGAGCAACATTCACATGTCCTGCAAAACATAAAAATACCTTCAGTTCTGAGTATCCCAAACACGAGATAAAAACAATCATCAATACAAACATATGTTTCTATAATATACCAGCTATAGCGCGGCCCCATTGATCCCGTTCACATGCCACAGCCCAAGCAAGTGTATTTCCAGTTGTAGGTCTTGTAGTGACCAAAAGAACTAAGTCGGCATCGGGGACACCTTCTGAGGAATATGAACAAAAAGGTTATATTTTAAACTCATTAGAATAATTTTTACATGTAAGTCTTACAAGAGAAACAACAATGAATGCGGATGCAACAAATAAAATGTACCCTCGATATATCCACGAGGAAGCTGCACGCCTCCATCTTGTCCACATGCAGAATATCCACTTAACCGCAAGTTCCCCTTGACAGGCTCAACAGCTAATGCTCTCCTAAACCAGTCAGCTGTCTGACCTAATGCCTACAATAAGTCATCAAGGTTTATAGTCTCCGTCCAATCTCTATGTGAATGATTAATATTATTATAGTTCTAACAACACAACACTGCTCACTGTCCAAAGAGACATAGTAAGCTGTGCAGTGCCTAACTGACAGCACCAAATATTCTCCCACAGGAAAAGATTATCAGCCTAGTAAAGTAAATCAAATTAAAAGGAGAAAACACTTTACATTGCGAAGGCGGTGTTTTTTGTCTTCTCCTGAGATATCTTCAGAAGTGCAGTTATACCAACAATCACCAACAATTGGAGGGTTACCATGAGCATTGCAAGAAGGGGAACCAGGGAGAGAAGTTGTGGGAGGCTCCCCAAGCTGATTATAATAATAAAAAACATGTAATTTTAGCAAAATAATTGAGATATATGGAATACCAATGTTATGGACAGAAATATAATTCAAAATATTCTTTTATTTATTTATAGAAAACACTCACTTTAACAACAGCGCCAACTTTTCGACAATCTCTATCAGGGGAGTGGCCAACAGCATCATAATTTAAATATATCCTAATAGGTTCCTTTGCATCCTTTTGAGGCCCTAATGATGTTGACACTGCAAGTATTGCTCTGCCTTTATGCTGAAGGGGCTTCAATATACTAGGCTCATAAACCTGTGGGGTAACTGAATAAACCTTGCGACCAGGTCGCTTCCTCTGTTCAAGAATCTGGTCATGTATGCAAGAGTGTGAGGCAATATTCTTTGTATTCCTTTCCAAACCTCCCCATTGAAGTTGGCCTTCGTGGGGCTTTGCAGTGTGAGCCTCCACCAATGCCAATATCAATATGATCTGCAACATGAAGCAAAACTTCAGTATATATCCAACCGGAGCAACCATAGTTTCTGTATTCACAAACATAATCTATTCAATTCAATTCACAAGACCTTGAAACACAGACACGTTTATTAAAGAACTTGATAAGATATGAAAATATAAACATGAGAACCTGTCCCTGTCTTTCCAAGTTGGTACTAAATATTTTTTCTTTTTCGGGGTCATATAAAACTTACCTTAATATTAGTTCATCAGAGTGCCACCATTAACTAGAGTCGATCTATGTCATAATCAATTGGTGAAACTTGAAGGTAAAAGGAAACCCAGAACCATCAATGAACGCCCTATAGGCTATAACAAACGCGCTACCAAAGAGGCTAGTTTAACAGTTTCCACTTAAATTTTTAGGCAGAGAAATATACATAAATAGTAGATAAAAGAAAACAACTCTATAATCAACCATTTCCCTCGCAACAAAAACCCTTGCCCTCATAATTTCAGAGTATGTAGCACCGACACTTCCAAAAGAAGGCATATCAATGTCAGTGTTACCTATAATTATGTTTAATTTATTCATTTTTTTTTTTAAATTATTACCGACATTGCTGTGTCAGTGTCGTTTTCGGGTTCTCCTTTTCAGAACATATATACATGACAAAAGTTACTATAAACGTCAAATATTTACCAGCTTCATAATCTTCTTACTATCACCACTAACGAATCAGAAACAAAGAAAAATCAAACATAATTATTCATAAAAACGCTAAACCCTAAACAACATAATAAAATTAAACTAAAAAAAGTAATTATACATACAGAAAACGCGTAAACAAGCATAGTTTCACCTCAACAACAACAACAACGAACAGAAGCTTGCAATTCAACCATGAAGTTCGCCGAACAACCAGCTCCATGAAAAGATGAACAGTGAAACACCGACGAAGTCGAGTCCATCAAATCACCGGCAAATTTCCGATCGGTTTCAAAACGCACGAAAATCTCCGTCTCTCGTGCATATTGAACACGAAAAAAAACGTAAAAAAAAAAGAAGACGAAACCTCTTGTTCAACAGTGGCTATGAATTGAAAGCGATAAATAATTAAACAATGCTTCGAGAATGAGATTCAAGACGAAAAGCGAAAACAGTGATTTCAGAGAGAAAAAAAGCTGTAATGTAAATGTTGTTGTGTAGAATAATCAGATAGAGATGGAAAAGCGCTTTTGAAGATAGAATCGCTTTTGGTGTTTGTGATCTGTTAAATGGGAAAATAGAGAGAACAGTGACAGTGAATGGAAGAAGAGAAGAAGGTGGAGGAAAATAATACTAATAATATAGATTGGGTGTGAAGTGGGTGGAGAGTATTACTATTATTTTATCCATTTTGGTTTTTTTTACTAATACTAAGATATTATAACTGCAAAATTTGGTTAAATGATTATTGTATTTACCATTTTGGGTTAGTATATTACCAACACTTAAGGATCACTTCTCCTCAACAAAATTGAACTTTATTTCTATTCTAATATACCAAGTGGAGATTATTTTATTGTATGGATCTCCATATTTATATGTTATATGTTATTTGTATTGATAATTATCATTTAAGTGTCAATAAAAATGAATATTTGTATTGATAATTATCATTTAAGTGTCAATAAAAATGAATAATAATCATAAGGAAAATTTTGAAGGTAAATAGAAAATCCTACAACTAAGTTTTGTTGTAGTGTTTGGATTAGTGGTAAATAGAATTGATTTTAATAAAATTATGTTTGGTAAAATTGATTTTAATAGAATTGAATTTAGCTGAATTGATATATATTTTGATACATTTAAGTAAAAGTGAGTTGAATAATAAATTTCAGTGTAAAAATCATCCAAAATCAATTTTAAAATCAAAAATTATATATTTTAACTTCAAGTATAATCAATTTTGGAGGCAAAATCAATTGTACTTTAATAGAACCAAATACGTTAAAATCATTGCAGAATCAATTCACTTTAAAGTGTTTTTATGCCTTTTAGAATTGAAAACAAAGATCCAATCAAATTTAAACTTAAATATATTTTTGGTCCCTATAAATGTTTTAAATTTTATTTTTTGTTCTTATTAATAAAATAATAAATTTTGGTCTCTAAAATTTTTGTGTTCATTTAGTTTTAGTCCCTACTAATTTCTAAAATTTTAAAAACTATTTAATTATCTTTAAATTTTTAAATTTTTGTATAATTTTTTTCATACGTATTTAGAATACTATAAAATATTTCTTTGTCAAATTTTAGAATTTTTCTAAATGAGAAAAATTAAATATGAATTTTTAAAATTTCAAAAGATATTGATAAAAAAGTAATTAAAATTTCGATCTAGAAATCAAATTTTGAATTTTTTTTTCTGAAGAACTTTTTATAACGTTCTAAACATGTCTGCAAAATACTCATTCAAAAATACACATCTATATAACAGCATAGACTAAAATTGTGTGCATAATAGTTTTGTAAGGACTAAAACATGTCATATTTTTTTATAGAGACTAAAAATAAAATTTAATAATTTATATGGATCAAAAGCATATTTAACCCTAAAATTTATTGTTCAACTCACTTTTACATAAATGTATCTAAAATAAATCAATTCCGTTAAACTCAATTATGATAAAATTAAATCTAACAAACTCAATTATGTTAAGAATTAATTATGTCCACCGTCAATTCAAATACTTAAGCAATTATGATAAAATCAATTCTAACAAACTTAATTATGCTAAGAATTAATTATGTAAAAGTGAATTGAACAATAAATTTGGGTGTAAAAATCATTTAAAATTAATTCTTAGAAGTTACAAATTCTAACTTCAAATAGAATTAATTCTAAAGACAAAATCAATTCTCCTTTTAATTAACCAAATATCTCAAAATCATCTCGAAAGAATTTCATCCCTTTAAAATTTCTTTTAACCCTTACAAAACCCAAACTCACTAAGCATTGTCATCATAGTTAATTTTTTTTTCGTATTATAAAAATTTTGATTTTATGTTGATTAGCGATTGCCTAACCTAACTTCTTCTTTTATTTAAACTTAAGATCGCCGAGCTAACTTAGATATGATCAAAGGTTAATAAAAAACAAGGAAACATATTACAATAACCTTTTTAACTTTATTTCTTATTTTTAAAATTTGAAAATAATAAAAAAATGATTTATTAAAAAATTCATGTTAGACAAACTTTATAGTAGTAGTTTGACCAAATCAAGCACTGAATGATGGTGGTATCATTTTCTTAACAACGTTGTTTTCAAATTTTAGTTGCTTTTTATTGCATATAAATTATAAAACACGAGTTATTGAAAAGTCCGCGCATTAAGTTTGTACTATGATGAATAATCCGTGACCTATTAAATTATGAAACCGAAAAAACAAGTCCCCTAAAGAGTGGTTTAGTTATTTAAAAACATAGAAATCAATTTGTGTTGAGTGGTTGATACACTTGCTCCTCCACCTTATTATACTATTATTAATCATAAATATCACTCAGATATGAAATGGATGATGTGGACCTCAAGACTTGTTAGATACTATGCTTTCATTTTGAGGAGGTTTATTATTTTATTGTAAAAAATAATTGAAGATGTTATTCATAAATGTATCATTAAATTATATTGAATTTTATAATTAGTAAGGAAATAAAAATTATGTAAATGTGATAAAAAGGAACAAAGTAGTAATCAATATAAAAAAGTTATGCAAGTTGAGTTTTAGGTACTCATTAGAGAGAGCTTGGGAGAGCTTCAAAATCCAGATAACATTAATAGAGTTATTCTTTAATTTTCCAAATGATATGGAGAAACAAAAATCAATTCACACCTTTTAAGAAAATTAAAACACAATAAGAATAATTTTATAGAATAAGTACAACAGAAATATGTAAGAATATTCTTTATCAATTATTAATTATGAAAAAAGAGAGGAAAGATAAATTAAATATAATATTAATTTTAATAAAAAAGAAATTAAGAACAATATGATTAAATAGGATAAAAAATAATCTTTTTATTTATAAATCTTTGAAGTCATCCAATTTTATCAACGTAAATTTTTGGTTTCATTCAATTTGTTTATCATGTATAGTATATCTTGTTTGCGGACTTAGCTTGTTTGTTGGTTTATGGATGGACGATCGAGATGAATTTCGTTTGAAATTTTAAGTGATGGAAAAATCTACAACATCCGAAAGTAATTGAGTCTCGTTGTCCGAGATAATGATTATGAGTAAGCTAAACCTACATATAATTCTTTGTCAATAAAAATATAGGATTCTTCTTACCAAGATCTTGGAGATGACATTTGCATCAATCTATTTGTGAAGTAGTCCATCCCAACGATTAAGAACTTCAGCTGACTTGAAATTAGTGGAAAGGGGTCTAAGATGCCATAAGATGTCATACCGTCCACTTGAATTTTTCCTTCTTTTTTAGAGTGGTGAAGAAGTGGAAATCTTTATCAATTGCACATGAAAGAAAATGAGACAAGGCGGTCATGCGCCTAGTTAGTCATTGACCTTCTTTGACATTTGTGGGGATCCTCATGTTAATAGTAGTCTGACATTTGTCAAGGTTTACCTCGATCCCACTTCTGGCCAGTATAAATCCCAATAATTTGCCTCTTTGAACCCAAATGAACATTTGGCAGGATTCAGGCACATGTTGTATTTTATAATTGATTTCAGGTTATCTTCCAAATATTTACAGTAACTTCCTTCTTCTGATGTTTTAATGACCATGTCAGTGATGTACACCTCTAGATTACGTCCTATTTGATTTGAGAACATGACGTCCATTAATTTTTGAAGTTAACCCCTACATTTTTTTGCCAAAATGGCATGACATTGTGGTAGTAATTGCAATAATTGGACATGAACATTGTCTTGGGCACATCCAATGGATCCATTTTTATCTGATTATAGTTAGAGTAAGAACTGATGAAGCTCATAGTGTTGGTGTAATCCCTAGAGGCTAATACTTTTGGTACTTGTATCGAATTATTTATTAATAATAAAAGGCATTTCTTTATTATGTTTGCTTTTCCAAAATAATAAAGTTCCTAGAATAGTTCATCTGTTTAATGAAATCTTAAGTGTGACTTAATCATGAGATCCCATTAAATATAAGGACATTATTCTTAAAGCATTTGTAGTCGAACTTTATTGTGAAGTGGGATAACATTAAAGCATTGAGATTATTATGAAGATAGACTGATGATCACATCTCATGGATCATGGATAAGGAGTTATCAAGTCTTGACATAGGTATGAATATTATGAGTAATATTTATACTGGATTGACCTGCTATGAGAATACTACATAGAATGTTATTCAAGGTGTCATAAGTTATTCTCATGGTGATAATGGTATATACCACCCTTCGACCTGAAACCACTATGGACCCTAGATGTAGAGTTAAATACTTTATTGATGATCAAACATTATCCGTAATTAGATGACCATAAAGACAGCTGATGGGTACTTCACAAAGCATGTTGAGGGACATGATTGACCTAGATGGAATTTGCCCATCCTGCATAACAGGATAAATACCTAAGGGCCCAATATTGAACTGGACAAGAGTGACATGGTCTATGCCTTATGTTCAATATAGATATAAGGGCAAAAGGATAATTATACACACAAATATTATCACGGAAAGGTTTTGTCAGATCATATGACATTTTCGTGACTTGGGTAGTAGTGATGTATTACTAGATACCCCTCACTATTTATTATGTTAAATGTGTGATTTAATATAATTGTCAACATCGCGAAAACCTACAGGGTTACACACATAAGGACAGACTGATGAGAGATAGAGTAAATAAGGAACACTGTAAGGTACTATGCACTCAAGTGAATTGTAGAAC